TCGCAGCAACACCTTGTGTTGCACCTTCCCCCGTCATTTACCTACACCCTGTCTACTCCTTCTCGCTGCAGCTAGAGGTAGAGCTGGTGCAGAAGGAGGAGAAGTTGCTGGAGACAGATTTTCTCTACGAGCACGTTTCCCGGCTGACGGACAGAATCCGCGCCACGGCAGAGAACGGGAAGCAGGACACGCTGCTGTTGGCTAAAAGGGTAAGAAGGGCATCGCAGGCTCTGCTTGCCAGCCTATACCAAATGAAATAACGTCTGGGCGAGAGGTAAGATGACTCACTTGCAAATTACAAAACTGGTGGCTGGAAATATTGATAGGCAAGTCATACGTTAGCCTTCAGAAATCATAGACATTTAGTAATAACAGTAATATCGAGACAGCAAGCGCGTTAGGCGAGTGTACTTTCTTTTTGAAAGTTACATCATGAATAGTACCTGTCACCAAAATATAGGATTAGTCATTTCTCAGTGTGAGTGCTTAGAAACTTGGGAGAATCCTCCTTTTGCCTGTGTACTTAACAGCCCTTCCACAACAAAGATGTTATGGATAAAAAGAAATTGGGAAAAACCAGGGAAGTTCTATATCCTTCCAATGCAGAAAAAGATAAACGTGGTATCTGGCTCCAAGCTTGTTACTTAGGTAGGGAGAGCCACACAGGAAAGAAATATCATTTTCAATACAGTTACTTTTCTATAATTATAGCTGTTTCCCTTAACTGCCAGTAATATTGTTTGTGGGAGAGCAAAAATCCCCTCACCCCCACCTCCTTAATGAAAAAACTCCAAATAGAGCAGAGCTGAGTGAAAGACAGAAAAAAAATGCTAAGTAATTAATGGAAAACAAGGCCAGGGTTGATTTTTTTTTCCTTAGGTGTTAAGTTTACACTCAGAAAGGCTTAAAACAAAACACATCTTTATAGTAAATCTTTAATTTTCCACAGACAGAGAAATAACATGGCTGTTATTTGGGTTTGTGAAATCATGGCCATGGGCTAATAAACTACTGTAAAAACGGCAGTGTGCCTAATGTTACATTCGAGTGCTCTGACTGTCCCCGTGCCCTGTTAGTCACTTACAAAAACAAGCATTTGAGTTTTGTTGGGGTTGTTTGTTTAAATCCTCCCCAGCAGACTCAAGGATTCCTGTCCTGTTCCTTTTCTGTTCGTCCCCCTGCCAAGGATAACTTCACACTCCACAGCCCCGCCATGCCGTGCCCGCGTTATCACTCCATTATCTTGTAAGGATCGGGCTTATAACATCTTTATTCCAAAGTTAATTGTGTTAATTGTGCACAAGATCACTGGGAATGGGGGTTTAATACCTGCCTTTGAGGGCAGTGGGAGTTCTGCTAGTCAGCTGAAAAGGGCAGGAGATGAATGCAAACTTGCTTTCCTCTATCTTGGATTGGATGAGATGTGACTTGTTAGGGAAGTTTCTGTGGTTCCCAGCGTACCCAGAAACGCACGTCCCATTTCATTAACTCGTTTTCAAGTATAGAACTATTTTTTAAAACGAAGTCAAGCTGGACTTGTTTTCACGTACCCAACACTCACCGAAGCGTCACGCCCAGCCAGTGTCTAAAGGGAAGCCCTAACTAAAATGCAATTGTTACTCACTCCAGACAAACGAACTGCAGAAGAAGATAAAGGACAGAACCCAGAAGATGATGGCTCTCGTTGCAGAGCTATCCATGAAGCAAGCACTTGCCATCAGACTCCAGCAGGAAATGCGAGACAAGGAACAATTTTTGATGACTGTCTCATCAAGGATAGATCAAGGCCTTCCCCCTCCCAAAGAAACAGAAAACGAATGGTTGAAGATATTACGCAATGAGAAAATGCAAAAAGAAGCAGCTGAGGCCAGAGCAAAGGTAAGTTTTTGCCATACGTTGCAATGAGACCTTCAGCCCCGTCTTTCCACTGCTCCAGCTTGTTCTGACAGAGCCGTGCCAGCTCGCTGCGCAGCTCTTTGCTGCCAAGCACGGAGCTCCAGGAGTCAGTGGAGATGACGGTGCAGAGACCACTACCAAGGTGGCGCACGGTGGATTTGCGGAGCTTTAACTGCAGTCTGGCACAGCGCTTAGACCTGGGCATTGAATCTTCAGCAGAGAACACGTTACACTAAAAGGAAGACTTAACTTCAATTATTACAGTAATTTGTGTGACCGTGCTTTGGGGTGATGGGTGAGATGATAGCCATCGGCGGAGTATTGCTTTCCATTTGATTTCAGGGTAAAGCTGCAGAAGGTGGGGCATGGGGTTCAGGGAAAATAAGTTTAGAGTTTTCTACACACCAGATGCAGTGAACATCAGAGCAGAAGTAGCATGAAATCGCATTGCTGGGCAAGACACCGAGGGCAGGCAGGGCAGCATACCAAGTAGTGCTCCAAATTCTGCCCTGCTGGATGCCGTGCCTCCTTAGCTGAGACCACCAGCGACCCCTGAGCAGAGAGCGCCCAGAGAAGAGCGAGCAGTATGAAAATGCGATGCATACACTGAGGGGACTCTTGCTGATGGGAAATTAGCTCTGCTACATGAATGCTTTAGTTGATCACTCCAAGGGACTCTGAAAGGCGCACAAAGCTGGGAGAGCAATACACTGTGCATGCACTTACAGAACTTGAAGTCACGCAGAAGTGCTGCAGTAAAACTGGTTTAGAATAAGAAACGTGTGTGTCACTGCCACTTCTCCATGCCATGACTCAGTTTCCTTTCAGTGCTGTGGACACAAGCTCACGGCAGTAACTGTATTCAGGGACAGCTGCTGTCAGCGCAAATACAGCCATGTTCTGAAGCATCAGAACAACTATCCCATTCCTGAGATGTTCTGTGCACGCTCATTACAATTTTTATAACAAAACCGTTACAGGCTCAAACTGTACACTATTTAAAAGGACAAACTCACATCTACATGGCCAATAACTCGCACTTTCCTTTCAATGAACACTTAATACTCTGGGTTTCCTGATTCGCTAAGGATTAGACTAACGGCGTTTCCTTTGTTAGGCACTCTGTTCCTTGGCTCAGGAGAGTACCAGAGTTTTAAAGCGTATAATCACTATGTGATCAAAATGCGTTTCTTTCACAGCGTGCTGCAGAAGAGGAACAAGCTGCGGTGCCCGGCTGTGTCCGCATGACAGCTGAACAACGCCCAGCCGCCTACGTCCCAGACGCTGAACACAGCCTCCCGCTGCCACGGCCCTACGGCGCTCTGGCTCCTTTCAAACCAAGCGAACCTGGCTCAAATATGCGACATTTCAGAAAACCCATTGTAAAGCCAATTGAAATCTGAACAGATAGCACCTAAAAAGCAGGAGAGGCCGTTACCGGTTGCTGAATCTCAAGGGTCAATAGCATTTACACTGCACTGAAGGAATGTCCCTTAGTGTTTAGCCAAATTCCATACCGAAAACAAAGTAGTAGTTAATGCCAGAAGCACGGCTCAATAGTCAGTGACACAGGTTCCCTTCTCCTGGCTAGGAGGAGCCCGGTATCCCAAATGCAGTGCAGTATTTTAAAATGTTAAGAAAAATGAGTGATCACCACACTACGCTTATTTTTTTTTCCAGGTGAAGTTTTATTGCATCTGATTATATCTTATAATACATTTCATTAAAAAGAAAAGGCTAGAAAATCTTCTCTTGTTATTAATATAACACGAAGTTCCCACCGCTTACACAAGTACACCAACACGGCTTTCTGCAGCCTGGGATTGGAGTGGATGCTTGCCAGACAAATTTTAATTATATTGAGAAAAATATTCCTTCCCTCTATGCAGTTACTGAGAAAGCCACAACTCTTGCTCCACTGATGGCAATGATGAGGGAATGACCATGAGCGTGCCGAGTCGCTCCTGACAACTGGATTTTTTTGGATTTTTTTTGGATTTCACTGGTTAGGAACAGCAAGCATCAGTGGAAACTGCTCAGACAGAATATCGGAGGTCGCTATTGAAAAACTCCCAAATCTATCAGATTGTCAATGAGTTTCACCAGTTTAATAGCCTGAAACTTTGACAGAGTTGTTTTTAAATCCAATAAAAACTGCAGAAATCCTACGTGTCAGAACTTAAGGTCTTCTCTGCATAGCAAACCACTTTTTTAAATTAACGTCACAGTTCAGAACTTAAATAAAAGTTGAAAATTAAGGAAAAACAACCTCCATCATTTCTTTCTGAAGCTGAGGTTTGAAGTGTAACACTAAAAGTTGTAAGGAAAGAATTAAGTCAAACTCTGTCCAAGTCACCATTAAGGTAAATTTCTAAAGAACTTTTTTCTTATCCTGCATTGCTTACAATATATTATACATATCTTAAAGGAAACAAACCAAAACCCTGCCAGATGCGCTTTACGAAGATTGTATTTTGCACTAATTACACAACTGAATATATTAGAACCCGACTCCAACGGCAGCAGTACTGTAAGGGAACAGATGGCCTCCACAAGGAATGAATACGTCACTACCGATGCATTATATACAGAGACTGAGTCATCGTTTGTTATTCTTACCTATTTTACATAAACACACCAAGAAATCCTTTTATTAATCCAAATGAGTAAACAGTTACCCATTTCTTGTTACTGTACAATACAACTGCTCTACCTTTTTCAGGATTGTCTACCTTGTTAAAATAATTGACATGAATACCAATTTTCACAGCCTGTTTTGACCGCCGCTGTAGTTTCACTTATTTGACTACTTCACCATGAGACAATGAAACCACAGATATATTTCATTGGAAACCTGGGGTTCTGCCAGATGAATTTCTCTAGGATTTATCTAGAAGTCAGTGATTTCAGCCTTAATACGTTGCACCAAATGATATTTTGAGTAGCTTATGTCAGTAATGGTGGCTACACAAAACTACAGATTATTTGGCAAACAACATGACGTTTAAGTTTAAAACAAACACAAAAGAAGTTGGTTGCACACTTCTGTGTGAGTACATTTATGTAAGAGTACCGCAGTCAGCTGTCTTCAACAGCATGTTATTTCAGGAATATTTGAGGCCCAAAAGCGTCATAGTGTGTTTGAGTGCTGTTTCCTCTACAAATCTTACGTTAACATGACCTTGTTTTTCATATGGATGCACACCTAGAAGAACATTGTCAGAAAGTCAGCATTTACAAAATCCTAAGTGTCCTGGGACACTCAGTCCTGCAGTCTGTTAAACACCTTCACCTCCAATACCGAAAGACAAGGCAACAGATGCAACTGTGTTTCCATTTACGCAAAATACCTACAGCTTTCAGTGGAGTCATTTGGGTGCTCACCCATGGCAGAAGCTTTCCTGTTAGTGGGATACAGGGAAACGACAGGCCACCTCTGGAGGCCGCTAGGGATTTCCGTACTAATTCTACACTGGAGATCCAAAACAAGATTTAAGCACAGCGGCTATGTTTGTGCCAGCACATAAAATGTACCAGGGCACATTCTCATATGTTTGTATATGGTTTCACTCTTTTTCCTCCCCAAATGGGATGATATCCACACACGGACAATCCTGTTTTAGCCTTCAGGTCCTTATCCTGACCGTATTTTGTTTATTAGTAAAGGCATAGCCAGTAATGCTAAAAAGTATGCTTCCCTTAACGCACCTTCCTTTTTCAGTGGAATTCAAATCTTCAGATGCTTGGGTTCACTGTAAGAAGCGAGTGCCCTAACCAATTTGAATTTCATTTCAAAAAATGGAACAGCATTGAAATAAAAAAAAAATGCCCGTTACTTCAGAGCACCTCCTAACCTAGCGATCTGGGTACTCTTTTCTGAGGTGGAAGATCTGATTTTGGTTGCCTCTTAGCCACCATACTGTATAAATAACGCACCTTCCTTTTTCAGTGGAATTCAAATCTTCAGATGCTTGGTTTACTGTAAGAAGCGAGTGCCCTAACCAATTTGAATTTCATTTCAAAAAATGGAACAGCATTGAAATAAAAAAAAAATGCCCGTTACTTCAGAGCACCTCCTAACCTAGCGATCTGGGTACTCTTTTCTGAGGTGGAAGATCTGATTTTGGTTGCCTCTTAGCCACCATACTGTATAAATAAGGAATGAGCCCTTCTCCCCATTTGAACACAGAATAGCAGCTACCACCACGCTGTACATGAACCATGGTTCACTACATGTGCTGAAAAATGCAAGTTTGCCAACTGGATTCAACACACAGAGGACTGGGATGAAAGCATAAGCGGTGAAGCAGCCCCCTGACAATTCCCATCAGCAGAAAGATGACCAAGACCTACATGTTCAGACATCACCGGAGTTTTAGAACTCGGTTATGTCAACATAGTCAGGATATGGCTGAGTGTGAGCACCAAAAGGCAACAACTACTGGTCTTCCGAAGTACAGAATTGACATTACCTTGATTCTCTATCTCTGCCAGCATATTAGTCAGGTAGTTAAGTGGCAAAAACTCTACGGGGACTGAGGGTCTCTCAGGGATAGGCCTGCTACACTGCAAGGGAGAACACTTCAGGTTAGTTCACAAAGTCACACCGTGCCCAGTTTCAGTGTTACCTTTAGTGTGTTATGGTCTACAGAAAGGTCAGGAATCTCAACACTGTCAAAGCAAAAGATAAAAAAAAAAATGGCCTACTTGCTCTTACCTGCCTGTTCCCCAGCTTCTCAAGCAAAAGTTTCACATATTTCCGTGCAATGAAATTAGTATTTATTGGATGATTCCAAAACTGGCGGACCTTTTGACCAAGAGCCTAGTAAGCAAAAAACAAAAACCAAAAACCTGAGAACATAAACACAGGACAGTGGAAACTTTGGAGGTGGAAAAGGAGGGAAAAAAAGGGAAACAAAATCCAGGCTGTAACACAGACTGCTTTCCTTTCACGCACTGATGACAGAAGCTAAGATGTCATCATTTTTAGCTACAGAGCCTTCCTTTCATAGCCAGTAACTAAGAGATTACAATACGCTCCCAAAACATGGGAAACAATCAAAACCTTGCCACTCAGTACCCACTGAGCTACTCAGTAAGTTTCTATCAATCAGTCTGTCCCATTACCTCTGCCCCACTCCGCACGTGTACTTAAATATTAATTGAGGCATAAAATGACCGTTTATCCTTCACTGTGACTCTTTGGTTTAGACCCATTCTTCTTCCAAAGAATAACACAGATGCCCCATTCCTCAATGCTCCGTTCAGAACAGGGCTTCTCTCAGGCTCAGTCTAAGGAACCTTACAAAAGCAGAATGCCGACAAGGAGAGAGACTGGGAACGCAGTTTGCATCCCATTATTTAGGACATCGTCCTGGGAATTGAGAACATTGATTCACATTCCCAAAGGCAAGAGAGATTCAAACCCAGATGTCCCAAAGCTTCCAATCCTAACCAGTAAGCAAACAAATACGAACACACTGTGAAATTAGCTCCACCTTCTGCTGTTTTCCCTATCTAGATCTTCCCCCCCCCCCATGCTTTCAGTGCTATTGCAATACAGACTACTGAAAGAGTTCATTTAGGAAACGCTGGACAGTTTCAATGGCGCTTAAATACTTGCTTCTGATGCAACTGAAGTCATCTAGTGAACGTAACTTGCTCAAAACAGTCCAAGTCACCCCAAAGTGTCCTTTTTGGCAAACAAACTATTCTCTGCATTTTTTCCCAAAGCTGTAAATAGATACAATAAGGCACTGAGTCTACTGTGCGTAACTAGCGGTACGTGTCCCCCAAAGCACTCGCAGCTCAGCCCCTCGCGTCCAAGCGCGGTCGGAATGGTGTTCCTCACCCACCAGGCTCGGGGCTGACAGCTCAGAGGCCCCGCGCTGACCCCGGCTCACCAACCCATGCCCAAAACAAGAGTCGGAGGACAAAGAACGTCCTGTGGCGTTCTCCTTCCCTACCCCTTCTCAGAACTGCTGCCAAATAAAGAAGCTCTTGTTAGAGGAAAACCAAAGCGGCACTTCTGGCCATTTGAACTATACATAACAGCCCATAATGAGCAAACAATAAACAACTTATGTTGAGAAAAGCCTGTTCTACAGCAAGGCAGTCCCCGAGGGGGGGATCCCTCTTCTCCTCTGCTCATGGAGATGTTGTGCTTCCTCTGCAGTACTGTGGTGTGCACCAAGAACAAAAGCGGAAAAGGAGAAGTCGATCTCCCATTCTGTCGGACCTTTTAATGGAGCATCAGTAATTAGTTCCAGCACGTGGCTAAACAAATCACCTTACCAATGGGCGAGGCTGGGAGATTTCACAGCAGGGAAGATCTCATGATTCAGTCCCCGCCACAGAGCTGTGATACGATCAGATTTTACAGCTTTTACCGTACCAGCTTTTGGACAAATTTGATAAAATGAATAAAACCAAATGCAGAGGTCGTAAGTGAGAAAGGCGTTTGTGAATGCTATAACACACACACACAAATAAATTCTCTTTAAACCCCATAAAACCATTATTGCTTTATGCAGATGAATACTCAACAGAACAGTGTCAGCGTTGTCTATTTGATCGCGGCAGGGTACTGGAGACACTCTAAAACATCACAGACAAATCTGTAATTTAAGTCGTCAGGGTACCCTACAGGACATGAGCAGCAGATGGAGAAATTGTGGAGGTTCAGGTTATATTTGTGCCCTATTTGAATCACAGCTAAGTCTCCCATTGGCTTGATCCTATGCACAGGGAGGAATTTCCTATTGATTCCAAAATCCAGGAAATGACATCCATGGTTATTAGTTACCTCGGGAAGCCTCATGACAATACTGAACTTCAGCTTTTCATTCTTCTCAGTGTTGTCCAGATCTACAAGGAAAGAAAAAAAAAAAACCAACAAAAAAACCACCACTGTTAGTGGGAACCACATAACTAAAACTTTCAACTTTCACTTAAGACATTCTGAATAAATACCATCTCTGTAATGAAATGAAAATTTTAATTCTAAATAAGGGCTATTAGGAGTGTTAGTTATGTTTATACTGTTTATATAAATATTTTCTGTATATTTGTACTAACTTCACCATTTTATATAACAATTTATATAACAACTCAAACATGTTTTGACTAACTAGAACTCCCCATAACCCTAACTCCCACCTTTAGGTAACCTTATGATATAAGACATTCACAAGCTCAGTATTTACTACAAATATTGGGATGCTGGGTCAGGTAGGCTTTTTTTTTTTACTTATTTTGAATTTTTACTTCCTAGCACTGAGTTTCTAGCCATTTGCCAATCCCAGCACTAGGATTATCTTGTTCCAAACATAATTAAAGCAAAAGCTGAGGACCGGATAGCAGAGTAACTTCCTTACACATAGGTGTGCACTTTCACAGAGTCACAGAAATCCCCCAACAAATTCTATGATGATCTTTAGTATTCACTTTTCTAAGAAGTCCCAAGCAGAAAAATTATAAACTCAAATTCTTCCCAAACAGATATTTCTTTGCCTATTATGGTAGGCTCAACCATATAGTCTGAGCCCTATTTTTCTCCTTTCAGCTGGGCAACATCATCAGCTACAGCCCTCACTGAAAAAGCACTCTGGGAGAAGAACTGAGTCTCCTGGGCAGTAAATCCTGTGTCTGAGTTTGACCGGCTGAAAGGACGTCGCTCCCAATTAGCTGGCTGGTAACAAATGAAACACATGAAACTCGCTGTACCTTTCAGCAGTTTCCTGACACATGTTTCTGTCAAATGCAAGACTCCATTATCAATATAGTGCAGGAGGGTGTGCAGCGGGAGACATCGAACACCAAGCCCCAAGTGCAGAGTGTGAAAACCTATGAAAGAGAAACAAACTTCTTTGGTACAACAATATATGCTTTTTTCTAAGTCTGTATTGGACACTGGCATTACTCTAGCTAAAGCCAACACTCTCCTTAACTTCTGACTGTTTCTAGTTGGTGAGGAAATCAGTTTATCAAAAGTCATGTAGTCTTATTTAGGCATTCTTTAAGTCCTCTCAAGTACAATCCTGTCAAAAAGAGGAAAGCCAAGGGGACTGAAAACAGGCATTATAGTCATACACAGTCATTAAACATCTCCAAGCTGTTGCCTTATATCTGAATTGTGCTATTAATTTGTCTTATCTCCCTCTTTCCTCCCAATTAATCAAAAACTGAGGCCTCACCACCCTCAGCATGTGGCTGCCACCCACACACTCCCACAGGCAGCATTAAGACTGCAGTTTCTCACTTAACACCAGCCAGATGATGGCCTGGCATCACGTGACGCCATTACGTGGCAGCATTTGCGCCCACACAGCCTAAGTCTGAGGGACAACCTCATACCAAAAACAGTTTCAAAGACTGAAGACAGATCAGGAAATACAAACTAGAAAGATTCAAACAGAATCAGAAAGCATTAAGAATTTCAGAAGTC